AACTAGGAGACTCTAGTATATTAGGCCCCAAAGATATAACATCCTAATTCCTGGGGCCTTGCAGATGTGATTAAGTCAAAGGTCTTGAAATGGGGAGATTATTTTGGATGATCGGGATGGGCCTTAAGTGCAATCATATATATCCTTATAAGAGAGACAGAGCGGGATTCGCCCACACACGGAGGAGACAGGACATGAAGATGGAGCAGAGAGATTTGAAAATCCTGGTGCTGGTTAGGGTGATGTGTCCACAAACCAAGGAATGCTGGAAACTACCAGAAGCTGGAAGAGACAGGAATGTATTCTCAGAGGGGGTGTGACTGCCAACACCTTGATTTTGGCCAATGATATTGATTTGGGACTTCCGGTCCCTAGAATAATGAGAGAACAAATTTCTCTTGTTTCAAGCCACCATGTTTGTGTGATTTGTTAGAGACGCTATAGGAAACGAATCCAAGACCAAAAAAGTAAATACATATATATTATAATTTCAGATGCAGATAAATACAGTGACTAAAATTAAAGCGGGGATTGGAGGGTAATTGGAATAGGGGTGCATTTGCAATGTCTGGTACGAAAGCATTCCGGGCAGAGCGAATGCTGAGGCAGAGGTCTCCAGGCTGAATGAACCTAGCAGGCGGGAGGATGAGGGAGATGGGAATGAGGCCTGCGAGAAGGTTAGCAGCCAGGTCACACAGAACCTTGGAGGCCATGGAGGACAATTTAGATTTTATTCTAAATGCCACGTGACAATCCGATTGGTGACTTTAAAAGATTACTCAGAATGTTGCATGGGGACTGTAGGGTGGCAAGAATGGGAACAGAGAGACCAGGAAGCTACTGTACTGTCCCCGGAGGAGGGGATGGAGGCTTTAACAGAGGAGGTGGTGAGCAATGCTCTGAGTTGAGATATATTTTTAAGAGAGATCGACAGCATTCTGTGGGTTTTAAGAGAAAGAAAGGAGTCTGCGACGGTGGCAAAGATTTTATCTTGAGCAGCTGAGCCAACAGCGATCCAGAACTGAAAACTCGAGATGAGGCTTGTGCAAAGGAGGAGCAGAAATTTTCTTTTTGTGGCTTCAAACAACAGAAATTGATTTTCTCACTGTGCTGGAGGCTAGAAATCCACAATCCCAAATCGAGCTGTTGGCACGGTCCTTCTGTAAGCTCTTAAGGAAAATCTGTCCCACCCTCTCCTGGCTCCCAGAGGCTGCCGGCGTCCGCGGCGTTCTCCGGCTCGTAGATGCATCGCTCTGCTCTCCGCCTCCATCTTCACGCGGCCTTCTTCCTGGTCTCTCTGCGTCTGTGTCTGTGTCTCCTTTTCTGTCTCTTACACAGACACTAGTCTTTGGATTTAGGGCTCACTCTCATCCAAAATGATCTCATCTTAATTACATCTGCAAAGACCCTTATTCCAAATAAGGCCACGTTTTGAGGTTCCAGGTAAACAAACATATCTTTTAGGAGACCACTGTTCAACCCACTGCAGATAGCAATAAGTCCTATTCGGGAATTTCTCATTTAATTTTAATTATTGTGCATTAAATGGCCACGAGTGGCTATCCTATGGGACAGCACGTTTCTAGAAGATATAGCAAGTTGTGGAATATTTGTTCTGAAAGGGGCCTGGAAGTTGACCGAATGCAGGCCACTCGATAACAGATGAAGAGTCTGAGGCCCAGCGATGCCAACTGCCTTGTCCCAAGGCCCAGCAGCTCGTGTGGCTGCATCCTGAACAAGAGCCCAGGCTAGTGAAAGAACTTTGCACCTTATTTTATGTGGAATGTTTTGTGCCCAGGGTTTGAAACCACACTAAGGAAGTAAAATGACCGTAAACTCAATATCAGCATCTCTCATTTTTTCATATTCCTGCAATGAGAAGTTGGTTTTTTTTTGGGGGGGGAGGGAGGAATTTTCTTAAATACTATAATGAATGAAGACCTTCTTAGAGGAAGTTCACAGACTTAGGTGCAGCACCCAGGGGAAGCAGCGATGACAGGGTGTCTTCGCAGGCCCCGGGAGAGGCTCATGCCTCTGTGAATCGGGGCCTATTTCCTCCAGGTCTGGCGAACCGGCTGCTTTCTTGCAATATCTGGGGTTTCCTGGCCAAGATCAGTTACGCGTGCTACTTGATCCACCCTATCGTCATCATCCTCTACAACGGACTTCAGGAAACGCTTATTCACTACAGCGACACCAACATGGTGAGTCGGCCCAGTGCTCAGCTCTGCAGCGGCTCCATCTGGAGCGACAAAGCAACCTCCTGGCCTCGTGCGAAGCCTGGTTTTGTTGTTCTTGTTGTTGGTGGGGGCCTATTGTTCTTTGTTTTATTTGAGGGAGGGTGTTGGCACAGGATAATATCTTTGTTTTATTTTTTAATGGTTAGGGCTCTTGGTCTACGGATCTATTTTTTTTTACTGATATCCGGACACAATTTGGCTTAACGTCCAGACACATAGGACTCTTGTAGTAAGACTGTTGTCCACTGTGCCCTCTTTCTCTCCAGTTCTATCTTTTCTCTGGACACTGCGTGCTGACCTTCATCACTGGGCTAGCCCTGACCCTCTTCATTGAGAGACCATGTCAGGAACTGAAGCGGTGTCTTCTGGGATCGATGCCTAAAGTGCCATGGACGTTCTAGTAACACCCGAAAGAACAGATGGCCCTTTATTAGCGGCGATGAGCAAAAGCAGCGGTGGCCTTGTTTACGTAACGAATGCTTCTGTTCCTGAAAAGGGGTGTGAGTCTGATTTTGTGAAGGTTCTCTGTATTTAATATAGAAAAGAGTTCTCAGGATTTACTATATAAAAGAGTTCGATGATCATCTTTTCAGTAGCATAATAATCATCCTCTGATATATCCTTTTAGCAAAAAAAAAAAAGCTGGATATTTTTGGTCTCATCTCGTATTTGTTTTCTGTACCAGTGATTATAGGAAAATATCAAATGTAGTAAATTGAATGTAATTTGGGTTAAACTGCTGACTTTGCTCATTAAAATCACAGCATGTAGTTTTCCTCATCGTAACTGTTTTTGTTGTAATAATACCTCTGTAGACTCAGTATCTCGGGATGGTATAACTCACTAACATGCACAATTCATGGGTTTGTTGTTGCAAGCCATACAAACGTTCTTTTCTATAACATGATCCCTGTTATGAGTTACTTTGTATCTCTCAAAAAAGATACGAAATCCTAATCCTCCTAGGATATTAGGCAGTGGGTTTATTTGGAGACAGGGTCTTTTTGGAGGTGGCCAAGTTAAAATGAGACTGTGGCGGGGGGGAGGGGGATCTGTGGTCCTAATCCAGTATGACTCATGTCCTTTTAAAGAGGAGAAATCTAGACACGGAAATAGACATACAGCTGGACACAGCTGTGTTCCTATTTCTGGACACAGAAGTGGGGACGACCATATGAAGACAGGGAGAAGACGGCCATCTCCAAGCCAAGGAATGCCAAGGATGGTGGGCAAACACCAGGAGCTGGAAGAAGCAAAGAAGGATCCTCCCCCGGAGCCCTTAGAGAGGGCATGGCCCTGCCGACAGCTCGGTTAGGACTTCTAGCCTTCCAGAATACTGAGGCCATACATTTCTGTTGTCTCATGCCAGCCACTTTGTGGCTGTTTCTTTGTTACTGCAGCCCTAGCAAAATAATCCCTCAACCAAAGCGCCCATCGGAGATAGAAGAGACCCTAGCATGTGGCCTCTATCCCAACCCCCTCGGTTTCCAGCAACGAGACCCCGAGATGGGGAGAGACTTGCAAGGCCAGATGGAGAATCTGAAGTCCAGGTTCCTTCCTCGGGTGCAATTTCTCGGTAACTGTCCCCACTAACGTATGTCTAACATCGCCTACAACACACTTCTCTTTGTGTACTTAATAATCGAAAGATTTATCGACAATCATGGGGCTAAGAGGAGCTTATGAGCACAGAAGGTCCCTCATCTGTGTTCTCTCTTTGCCTTCAAGTGGATCTGGGAGGGAGACCCCTGAGGGGTTAGGAGGGCTGCAAACCTCAAATCCTTTGATGGGCAGTTGACAGTTAACCTTGTCCTTCTCCAGCCAGCCTTGGGGAACAAGCCACATCTCCCTGAGGATTCTTCTGCTGGCAGAATCTGACAAGCCTCGCCTTGGTGTGTTCAGTGTGTAATAAAACTCACAGAGTTAGTGTTTCGACGAACTCTGAAGTTCGTCGAGTTCCTCGGGAGCCCTCTGGTGGCTGATTGGGCACCTGACCCCTTGACTTAATCAGGACTCAGAGGAGCCTGGAGGGCAGGAAGCATTTACAGGAGGATGCTGCAGTCCAGCTGGACCCCGGCGGGAAATGAGTCACCCGCCAACATTGCTGAGCACGCAAATTGCCAGGGGTTTCTAGTGATGAGGTTGGAAACCCAGGGCCCTTGGCACTTGCTTCCCAGTTACTAACGTGGCTTAAAGTTTTGTCCATGAGAAAAAAAATACCCTCTCACTACCGCCATCCCATAAAACACAAAGTGGGGATAAAGTCTAATTTGATTGTGGCTTTTGTTTCAATCCACAATTCCTTAGAAGTTGAAGATTTTTTATAGGCTTCGTGGATCTTATTTGGATCCTGAAGCGAACTGTAAAAAAGCATGTAACATTTATGAGACAAAGGGAAATCCGAACGCTGCTGACATTTGGTGATGTTAAGAACTTATTAATTTTTAAATGTGCTAATGGTATTGTGGTTATGTTTTTTAAAGAGTCCTTATCTGTTAGATGCATACTGAATACTTATGGACAAAATGATGTAAAATCTGGTATTTACCTCAACATAATATCAGGAGGAAGTGATAGATGGATAGATGAAACAAGATTGGCCATGTAGTCATAATTTTTCAAGTACATGGGACCTCATTATACTATTTTCTTGTTTTTGTATATGTTTGAAGAATGTATAATAATAATGTCAAACAAATTTATAGAGGCAGCAGGTTCAGAATAGAGTATCAATTAATGGGTGCCTCCTCTAATTCTTCCTAAATTCTGAAATCCATGTTCCATCTCACATACCAACCTGTGGATAAACATAGGTCACCTCAACAGTATAGAATCACCCCAACGGGCCCAGAGGGACTCTAGCCTCCCTTCAATTTCTCCTGACTGGTTTGGGGGAGAATCCAGGGAGATTTTGCTTGCTTTGTGAACACCTAGACTCTGCTATTTCCATTTTTATGGAGCTGGCTCTCCTCAGCCCACACCTGCCCTGCCATTAGGGCTGCCGAGAGCTGATGGCAGGGACCAGTGCCTCCTACACTTGCTGACATCCCTACTCCACCCTCCCAAGCATGCTGCCTTCTCCCGTGACTTCTCTGGCAGGATGTGGGCTGGGCTGGCTTAGTGTTCAGGCCGCTGTGTCCATTCAGAGCACAAATGGTCTCCACAAATGCCTCAGGCAGCTAAGTCCCCTCTGCCCCCACTCGTACCATCTGTGCTTTCTCATTCAGGCTCTGACGCAGTGCTGCCGGGTGCCCATCATGTTCTTGTAGAAGATGCTCTTGCAGGTTTTCCTCACTCTGACACAGGTCCGTCTTCCTTGGATGCACTAGGAGTCTATGGGTGCTGGGATGCAGGGGGACCCTTGACTGAGATTCAAAAAGAAAAACGAAACTTTCACTATGCGATATTGAAAAATCTCAATCGATGCCCATGTAAATAAGCCGACGTGACAGCATAAAGAGGTCTTTGTTAGAAAATGTGCAAAGAGAAGCAGGAAGGAAGAGAGGCAAAGGGGTGGCAAGGTGTGTCCGCTCAGGCACGAAACGAGGTGGGGGAGGGGCGGGGATTAGGGGCAGGGTGAGGAGGCTTCTCTTCTGTGTGGCTTTGTCTTAAGTAGAATCAGAATTTGGAACAGGCAGAGGCTTTAGAGATTATCTGCTCGATGACATCATTTTACGGAGAGGCAGCTGAGGCTGTGAACGTTGTTACCTCTCCAAGTTCACGGAACCAGGACCGGAACCAGGACCGGAACCTATTCTGCTCGTCTATATGGTAGAGACAGGGAAGCAAAAGAAACCCCCTTTGCTCTCCCTCCCCATACCCAGACTTAGACATGCACAGCGTATGTAGGTATGCGTACACACATATACACACGTGCATGTATACATATTCACATACGTAAGCCTGTTCTGTTTCTTACTTTGCAAATTTCCTCTTAACAACAAAGTCTAGAAAAATCAATGTTACCTGCCTTGAGGACCTCTATTACCTCCTCTGTGTGCAGAATATTGATGAAGCAACAGCCATAGCAACGGTTTCAGACCTGTGGGAACATCTGTGCTGTGCTGACTTCCATCGCCTTTCTGCCTTTCGTGGGAGAAGTCACTTCCTGGGCTCGGCTCCCTTTGGTTTGAAGAAATCCATGTGCAGAATCCAAAAAGCTTTAGCCGCATGTGTTCAGGCGACCACAAGAGGGCAGCACCTGAGAGGCCAGGGCAGGGCCCCGCCGCCTTGTGGAACCACGCTAGAAGGTTCTCAGGAAAACTGCAGATGGGTTGAACTGTGAATTAGGAGAGTCAGAAAGTATTCACGGTTTCCTCTTACATGGCCAGCCTGCGAGATACTTTAGCATGTCGTGAGGACCAGAATAGGATTCTACTTAATCCTTTTGGAAATATATTTCTAACCTATCTGTTATTTTCAACTGAAAACAACTTACATCTTGGCAGTGGTTTCCACTGACTTCTTTCCGGAAGAACTTGAAATGAACCTCGTGTTTCGTTTATTTTCAGTTATTAAGATGAGAACTGCCTGTCAGACTTGATTTTAAAGTTCCTGGATCTTTAGC